CTCAATTTATATATTAAATTTTTTTGTATTGTCATATTATACCATTAAAATTTTGTGTATTATCATATTACACATTATTTTTTTTGTATTGTCATATTACACAATTAAATTTTTTTGTATTGTCATATTCACATTTTTACGATTTTTTCACTAATTTGCTTATAATTAACACTGATTTTATATGATGATGGTATACAGACCAATCCCACAGTATTGACACTAGTACAAAGTGAAGCCGCTCCAAGAATGAAAAAATTGCAAAGGACAAAAAACTTCTCTAGAAGAAGATAAACTAATTGTGTTTGTGTGACTTAACACGAGTAAAGATGTAATTACTGAGAATGAACAAGGTGGTGCTTTCTAGTATAGAATATTGAAATACTTAAAACTTCATCGAGACAATCAAAAAGAGCGTTCACAAGTTTTTATTAAAAGCCGTTAGACTGATATAAATGCAAAATGCGGAAATTTGTCAGTTTTTATAGTCAAATTGAAAGACTATAATATATATTGAAAGACTACGACAAAGTGGACACACCAAGCAAGATAATGTAATTGTTGAGTTTTTTTATATAGACACTATTATGATTTGATATTTGAACTATTGATTGAATGATTTCATATGTTTTTCAAGTTGACGAAGTAAAAGAAATGTTTGCAAAGAAATGTTTAAAATATTAAAATAACACCCTATTTTAGCACCTATCATTGGAGCAGATTTATAATTTAGGGGTGTCAAAACACTGTTTAAAGTTGCAAAATAACATTTGACACCNAAATAACACCCTATTTTAGCACCTATCATTGGAGCAGATTTATAATTTAGGGGTGTCAAAATACTGTTTAAAGTTGCAAAATAACATTTGACACCCCAAAAAATGGCAACTCCCTTTGGAGTTGCTCTAAGATCATTTCTCATGAGTAGCAATAATGGTAAAAAGTATCGAATTTGAGAATTTTTACATACAATGAAGCATGGGAGAAAGAGTCTTGGACTCGAGCCTCGTTATTTNGTTATAACGTCTTCCCCTTCTCCTAAATAAAACGCTTCATATTCCTTCCCCTTCCCAGAACGTCTGCTTACCCTTTCTTTTCCCTTTCCCTTTCCTCTTCCCCTTCCCCTGCGCCCTCTACAACTTACAACAACAACGACAATCAATTTTCAGGCAATAGCAATAGCAATGGCAATGGCAACGACAACGGCAAACGATTTCCAGCCTCTTACCCCTTTCCTCTGCGATTCCAAGAACGCTTCTGCGCCTCCTTCTAACGATTGAAGAAAAATCAGAATAAAAATCAAGNTCCAGCCTCTTACCCCTTTCCTCTGCGATTCCAAGAACGCTTCTGCGCCTCCTTCTAACGATTGAAGAAAAATCAGAATAAAAATCAAGTAAAATTTCTTTTCAAAATTTTTGTATTTGTAAAAAAAATTTGTTGAATATAGTCGTTGAAAGAGCGATTGGGAAATGAATAGTGATTTTGCAACCTCTCATTTTCTCTCTCTAGAGATGCCAAAAATGTCACCTCAGAGCAACTCCAAGAGGAGTTGCCAAAAATAGGGTGTCAAACGTCATTTTGTAACCTTGAACAGTATTTTGGCACTCTTGAAACAGTGTTTTTGCTCCAATGGTAAGTGTCAAAATGTGGTGCCATTTTATATTTCAATATTTTTTATTAAAAAAATATAATTAGTCAATTTAAAGAATGAGCATAAAATAATCAATTAAAAAATAAATAAAATTACCTTTAATTAAAACAAATAAATCTGTCATAAATTATAAATTATATTACAAATTATAAATTAAAACAAAAATAGGAGGCAGATGTAATTATAAATTATAACGTCTCCCCCTTCCCCAAAATAAAACGGTTCCTACCCCCTTTCCCTTACTAGATCGTTTCTTCCCCTTCCCTTTTATCAGACTTCTTCTTCCCCTTCCTCCCCTTCCCCTGCGCCTCTCTGCAACTTACGATGGCAACGAGACTATGCATGCAGTACACCAACGGCAAGGGTTTAGGAAAGCTAGGGTTCGGTATCAAAGGCAAGGATTCAGGGAAGCTAGACTATGTGATTCCTAAAGTTGCAGTACACAAATCAATTTTAGGCAAGTTTCCTTCTCTTTTCCTCTCTCTGTATTTTTATAGAAATTTTGGGTGGAATATAGTTGTTGAGAGGAACAATAGCCACTAACGACTAACCTCTCAATTCTCTCTCCAAAGTTGTCAATTATGTCACCCCAAAATCCTAGATGTCATTTTGCCATCTCCGTTGGAGTATGAATTTTTGCAGTTGGGGTGCTATTTTAGCGGTTATGGAGATGACACCCTTGATGTCATTTTGCAACCTCCAATGTCACCCTCATTGGAGTCTGAATTTTTAAATTTGAGGTGACATTTTAGCAATTATGAGAATGCCACCCCTAATGGCAAACCCCTAACCGTCAAAATGTCACCCCAAAATCAAAAAATTTCATTCCAAGTGGGGTGGCATAAAGGGTTACAAAATGACACCTATGGACTTGGGGTGACAAATTTGCAAACTCTAGAAAGAGAAAATGGAGGTTGCAAAAAAGTCGTTGGTGTCTATTGTTTCCTCTCAACGGCTATATTCAACCCAAAAAATCTATAAAAATACAAGAGAAGAAAAAGGGAAGGAGGTTTGCCTGAAAATTCGTTGATGTCTATTGTTGAAAATCATTAGTGTCTATTTCTGAAAATCGAGAGAGGCTTGCCTAAAAATCCCATGCTTGGTTGGAAATCGCTTCCCTGAAAATCGTTGGTGTCTACTAGGTATATGCTGTAATTTCACTAGGGCTTAGGGGAAGGGTTTGAATCGTAAAGGGAAGGGTTTGCGATAATTCTAGATTTCTGCTACTATTTATTATAGGGCAAATGACACCTTCTACCTCAAAAGTTTTTTATATTCTCAATTTATATATTAAATTTTTTTGTATTGTCATATTATACCATTAAAATTTTGTGTATTATCATATTACACATTATTTTTTTTGTATTGTCATATTACACAATTAAATTTTTTTGTATTGTCATATTCACATTTTTACGATTTTTTCACTAATTTGCTTATAATTAACACTGATTTTATATGATGATGGTATACAGACCAATCCCACAGTATTGACACTAGTACAAAGTGAAGCCGCTCCAAGAATGAAAAAATTGCAAAGGACAAAAAACTTCTCTAGAAGAAGATAAACTAATTGTGTCTGTGTGACTTAACACGAGTAAAGATGCAATTACTGAGAATGAACAAGGTGGTGCTTTCTAGTATAGAATATTGAAATACTTAAAACTTCATCAAGACAATCAAGAAGAGCGTTCACAAGTTTTTATTAAAAGCCATTAGACTGATATAAATACAAAATGCGAAAATTTGTCAGTTTTTATAGTCAAATTGAAAGACTATAATATATATTGAAAGACTACGACAAAGTGGACACACCAAGCAAGATAATGTAATTGTTGAGTTTTTTTATATAGACACTATTATGATTTGATATTTGAACTATTGATTGAATGATTTCATATGTTTTTCAAGTTGACGAAGTAAAAGAAATGTTTGCAAAGAAATGTTTAAAATATTAAAATAACACCCTATTTTAGCACTTATCATTGGAGCAGATTTATAATTTAGGGGTGTCAAAACACTGTTTAAAGTTGCAAAATAACATTTGACACCTCAAAAAATGACAACTCCCTTTGGAGTTGCTCTAAGATCATTTCTCATGAGTAGCAATGATGGTAAAAAGTATCGAATTTGAGAGTTTTTACATACAATGAAGCATGGGAGAAAGAGTCTTGGACTCGAGCCTCGTTATTTACCACTTTTATAATATTGTCCGACTGAAAAAAATAATTTGTACACCAAATTTATGAGAAAATATTTAATATAAAGATGATATTATATTTTGTTAACAATTTAATTATAAATTAATACATAAAAATAATGAATTCCACTAATGCCTATAATCACCAGTAAATTTTAAATTCAATTACTATCATTCACTTGTTCTATTTATTTATTATTAATTAATAACACTATGTAATGCTAATGACATGATCTAACTATTATATTAAACATTTTCTCCAAATTAATCTCAAGTTCTCAACCATTTTGTGAGCCCTTTTTTATTGGTTAGAATTATCGACCTAAATTAACATTGAATGAAATAATAAAAAAAATATATAAAAATATTTCACTTAAATAAACATATAACATATGACCACGAAATGAATAGAGAAGAGCCGACACCAAATGATTGAAACATAAATTTTGATTTTGGTTGGTTTTATTGTGCGACCTCAACTGAAAACTAAAATTTAATGAAAAATAATTTGGACTACTATAATCTATAATCTATAATATAAAACATGACAAATTTCAATAAACTCATTCGACGATCTAAAATATACTCATTTAACGATTACCAATATCTCTCTCAAAACCATTCACATTCACATTGCGTTGTCCCTTCACTCCTTGTACAAAATCAATGCTCGATAGGCTGTGTCCATCTTGTTGAGGCTCGTTGGAAGAGCTTCAGTAACAATCAGGTGCAGGTCGGCTTTAAGTACCGGAGATTGCGGCTCGTGGCAGATAGGAGGAATAACAATAACAGCAGGCATGAAGCAGTTCTATGGACGATGGGAGGAAAGATTCAAATATGGAACTGGGATATCCCACGTTCAAGGTCGATGAAACCTTGGCAGCTGATACAAAGTAAAAAGTGTCGTTGTTTTCAGTTCCACCTGTCGCCTTTCAGCCTGTAGAAGCAGAAGCAAAACTAGAAACTAGAAAGGCAAGGAATGCAAGCATCATCTACAAAACTGAATTGGGCATATATCTCGTAACTGTTACAAATTGGAGTACAATCACTTGCAAAAAGATGCATCTATTACTTGATTGCAACAATGTCCCTCATGTTTCAAACTTCCTGGAAGTTCTGATATGCTAAACAAAAAGGGTACAGGCATACTAACTACGAAAGCACAGCCATTACATCAGATGCCCTTAGGGCTATGTATTCAGAACCATCGGCACCTTTGAAGTCATTCCCTGCATATCTGGAGTACAGAACCGTGTTCCCAGGGGAAATTGATAATGAACTCTTGTTCCCTTCCTCATCCAAAGGACCAGGCCCCACAGCAATTACCTGTAATCCCATATAGCAATCAGTGAGGAGAGATATCTACAGCCTAACAATCTTAGAAGTTGACATGAAAGGATGGCCCCACGCCAATGGGAGTGATTTTTTTTTTTTTTGGAGGGGGGGG